GTGGTGAGCCAATTTAAAATCGTTAGTTTCGAATTGATTGTTGCTAGAACTGTATCTTCACCTGCGATTTCGTGCAAACCGGCCGTATACAAGTTGAATAAGACCGGTGACAGTACATCACCCTGCGGTAATCCGTTGCTAACAGTCCTTTTGATTTCCTCCGTTCCAGTTTTCATAATCACAGTTCGATCATAGAGCTAACTCTAAGACTAGAAAGTCCCGAAATAACGTGCTCAACTTTTTGGCTCAGCTCTGGTACTCTCTTCGGTCCCAAGCTAGTCGATTCACCCCTCGAAACATAGAAAAATCCAATAACCCCTCATTTTATCTGTCAAACTTTCATAGCGAATCAAAACAAACATAGTATAGTACTAGAATTTCGACTAGAATGGGGTACGTTAATCGTTTGCTTGGGACCAATAGGCTAGTCAAGTAGTGAGCCAATTTAAAATCGTTAGTTTCGTATTGATTGTTGGTTCGATTTCGCAAAACTACTGTGATCCATCGAATGTATTCTTGGGGTACGTTGAATCAGGTCATTATTTCTTCCAGCTTGTCTGTGCGAACCGCGTTAAAAGCGTTGCTTAAGTCCAAAAAGCCTCCGACTGTGGTTAGTACGCTCCTCCAGTTAGCTTGGATGAGGTTCGTAACGTATGTGATGCAAGTGTTCGTTGACTGTCCTTTACGAAAACCAAATGATAGGCTGGGTAGTATTTGCTGCTTGGCGATAAACTGGTTTAGTCCATCTAGAACAGCAGAGTTTAGCGTTTTTGTTAGTGTAGGGATATTGGTCTGTTCCCCGCTGGAGTGGTGTTATCCTTTCCGGGCTTTGGCACGACGACGATACGAATTTCCTTCAGATGCTGTGGTAGGCTTTCCTGTCTCCAGTAGTTGTTCAGGTCGATCAAGACTAGCTTAGCCACTTGTGGGCTCAGGGACTTCAGCATATCATAGGAGATACGATCAACTTTTGGGACCGACGATTTCTTCCGGTTCAGGATGTTGTTCCATTTGTTCTGGTTCATGATGTCGTAATTACTGATTGTTGAACTGTTCGCGTATTCCGGGGAAATATCGCTTGGGCCGACGTGTAGGTCCATAAATTCCTTTGCCAGATTGTCCTGGATTATGTTGTTGCGCGTACCTCTTTTCTTTCCAGTGAGTCGTCGTATCTTTTTCCAGAGTTCGGCTGAACTTGTTTGTGGGTCCACCTCTTCGGCGAATCTGTTGATGTTTTCTTTGACGTTTGCCTTCTTCAACCGAAGAAAGATTGCTGTACTTCTGTTCAGGTGAATCAGGTTTTCCGGGGTGCTGTCTCGGTTGAAGTTCGACAACGCCTGCTGTTTCGCCTTCCAAGCTGCCTCGACTTCATCGCTCCACCAATATTTTGGGTTTAATTGGTTGATCATTCTGTTGCGCTTTATTATTGTTCCTACTTCTCGGCTTAGGTTGCTGATTCCACCAACTGTAATGGTGTCTAGCCTGGATATGTCCGTTTGTATCTGTTTTCTGTTGAAAACGAATTTCTCCTTGTGTGGAACTTGGGTGTTCCATTCTATTTCTATTGTGAGGTGGTGACTTCCGATTGACTCGTCTCTTAAGCTGGGTTTAGATAGGGCAAGTCAAATGATCAACTCAGTTGACTTCAATTGGCTTGAAAAGTTGAGCCTGGTTCAACTTTTTTCAATTCAAGTGAGTTGATCAAGTCAGTTGAATGGCATGGTTTACACGTTCAATTCGCGTTCAAGTTAGTTGAATTCAACTGACTTGATCAATTGACTTGCCCTGTCTAAACCCAGCTTTACAGTCCAGGTGCAGTCCAACACTAGGTTGCTTGAGACCAGTGTGAGATCAATGGCAGTGGCCTTCTTGTTGAGTTGTTGCGGTTTGTAGGTGGGGCTTCCGTCGTTCATAAGAATCAGGTCGGATGTGTTAATTGCCTGCATGGCTGCTGCACCTCTTGGGGACGTTTTGTCATTACTTGAAGTCACCAACAAAAATCACAAAATCACAAGTCACCAAGTTTCGGAAAGGAGGGCCGCTATGTACGACCCAGTCATCAATGATCTTTGTAGTTCTTCTTAGTGTACACTTCTGGTTGCAGCAGTTTCGATGTAATATTCAACAACTTTTTTTGCTGTGTAGGTCCCGAAGAAACGTGCTCAACTTTTTGGCTCAGCTCTGGTACTATCTTCGGTCCCAAGCTAATCGATTCACCCCTCGAAACATAAGAAAATCCACTAACCCCTCATTTCATCTGTCAAACTTTCATAGCGAATCAAAACAAACGTTGCGTAGTACTAGAATTTCGACTAGAATGGGATACGTTAATCGTTTGCTTGGGTCCAATAGGCTAGTCAAGGAGTAAGCCTATTTAAAATCGTTAGTTTCGTATTGATTGTTGGTAGTAGTCCTGCTTGGTGCTTTCCTTTCCTTTTGGCGGGTTGGGGTCTGTCAGTGTAGATCCTTGTTCCGTATTTTTCGATGATCCAGCTGTTGTCAGAATTCCGGGTGGGGGCGTTGGGGATTTAGGTTCTTGTAGATCATCCACGTCCATGATGTTTGTTCTTCTTCCTCATAACAAAATGGTCGATACCATGTGAGCGACTTTTTCGCTCAATTTCAAAGTTATTTGTTCAGTATATAAATACTTTTCGGTCATTGATTATTGAATTAGTCATTCAGTAGTTTTTAGCTATTCTCAAATATAAAAATTGAAATAAACCTCCCCTTTCACTGAAAACAAATACTTAACGATAAACAAAATCGACTGGTCCCTGGCTGCTTGTCTCCAATTTCTCGAGCGTCCCACACTTCCTACATCTTGCTCCACTTGGTATAACCACTTAGCACGCTGTGCTTCTCTGCGTCTTGTACCGGCCGGATTTGAGGAAAACACCATTTTTGCGGGATTGTTGTCCGGCATTCTTACAACGTGTCCCGCCCATTGTACCCTTCCACTTTTAGCGACTTTCTGGATATTGGGTTCGCCATAAAGTTACGCCAGTTCGTGGTTCATTCCTAAATAAATAGAGCTGGAACTAGGGCGTAACAGCTTTTGTAATCAATGACTTCTCTCGATGATTTCGCGGAAGTCATGGCTCTCCCAGGCGAATCGACATCACCATCGATTAGAGAAAGACTTCTACTACCCGATGGATATGTTGGTTTGTGTAGGCGTGTCTTGAATTCCGAGAAATCAACAAGAGAAGTCATTGTTTACAAAGGCTGTTACGCCCTAATTCCAGCTCTATCTAGATTCTTCTACTCCATACACCCTTTTCATATACCCTGCCAAAGATGGTCCTAAGCACGCGTCGTTCGAAAACTCCCAGTGCTCCTCGAGCATTGTCCATTGTCATATTTTTCATGCACAATAATTTTGTTTATTATATTTTTGCAGTTCGTCAATAAGGTAGAAGACTGGCAGCCCAAAACTTTCCGCATGTGTGGATCATCTGTGGAATCATCTTTCATTTCTCGCATCTACTTGCATCGTGCGTCATCTTTAAGCAGGAAATCTTCAAAATCGGCATAAATCTTCCTTCTATCTACTCAGCGTGCGTACAGCTAGCCACAGCAAAACACAATCTTTTCTGCATCGTAGATAGAGTCGTCCCCCTCGCTCAAAAATGCTATAACAATCGCCAAGCTCGCTGTAATGTCACCAAGTGCCTCGTCACCCACGAATAGGCGCCTATGTCAGTGGTCTAACAACTCTTAGCGCGCTAATGGCATAGTTCCCCTGCCGCATAGAGAGTTGCCACAATGATATTAGGTTAGCTAAGGTCAGTTAACTGACTGGTGGGAAACGGGAGCTTCAGCATTGACTGTTATGTACGCATTTTTATGATGTAATCTAACAACAATCGTGTGTAGTGTTTACACGATCATGTTTCTAATTCTAATGTGTTGTAAATATAATTGAAAGCATTTGAAAAGTAAGATTCTAGTGTTTGTACTTCTTAAAACATAAGTAAACATCTACATTTGAAAACATTCAAACAACGTTTACTTTAAACGTTTTGTACATCTGAAAACATCAGAGAACAACAAACAGGAAGTACAATTGAAAACATCCGAACAATGTTTAGTGCTAACGTTGTGTACATCCGAAAACATCCAAAAAACGTTTGGTTCTAGCATCGGGAAACATCTACATAAGAAAACATTAGAATACATTTACATATAAAAACATTTAAACAACGTTTAGTTGTAACGTTTTTTACATCCGAGAACATCCGAAAACGTTTAGTTCTAACATCGGGAAACATCTACATTAGAAAACATCAGAAAACGTTTACATATAAAAACACCCGAACAACGTTTAGTTCTAACGTAATGTACATCAGAAAACATCCTTAAAACGTTTGGTTCTAATGTCAAGAGATTGAAATTTTTGACGTCAGACCGACATTAGAATTGCAAAATTTTGTTCCAAAATTTCTGATGTATACACTATGTTACGTTGCTTAAATACAACTAAATCATAATGTTTTCTAATGTTTGACATCAGGCATACATTTGATTTCGATGCTGATGTAGACATCAAAATCAAACGTTGGGCTAATGTAAATTTCTATTCGGGTAGCCAATGGCACGCGCGAGAATGGATGCACCCCTCGAAACATATCATTTTATCGGTCAAACTTTCATATTGAATCAAAATAAACATAGTGTAGAACTAGAATTTCGGCTGGAATGAGACGTTAATCGATGTACTTGGTATCAATAGGCTAGTCAAGTAGTGAGTCAATTTAAAATCGTTAGTTTCCACCGGTTGGTCAAACTGCTCTACTTTCCCCTAACTATCTCAATCTGCTTGAATTTGTTCCACGGCCTGAAAGTTCATCCAGAGATTCATCCGAGCCGCAAATCATTCTACGCCGCTAAACGCACCCCGTTTGATGAACAAAACAAAAAAGAGCGAGAGAGAAAGAGAGAGAGAGAGCAAGAAAAACGTCAGCGGTCGTCGCATTATTTATGTTTTGATTTTCCTCCGTCTTATCAGTTTTTCCTTCGTATTTGGCTGCCTGTTTTATCGTACCTAAAGCGGTGTTTATCATCCTTCCATATCAGCACCGACCGAGTAGGTATCAAATTTCCAACAAATACCCAATCTACCACGAATTTGTTATCTACCAAAAGTTCCCATGCATATTATCCCCCATCCAGGTGGCAGGATCGTCGGAACAGGTTGCCTACTCCTCCCGGCATCGGTAACTGATTGGAACTGATGACTGATGATGGAAAAGCCGTGGTAATAAGAGCCATCAAAACATTGCGACGACGACGACGAGTCCGAGCCGAAACAGCAGCACACGATGATAACTGCTGATAAGGATTCGTCATTCACCACACCGGAGCCGAAGATCGAAGACAACGACGACTACTTCGCCAAGGAGTTCAGTTTAGTAGCGTGCTCCTGCGCGTAAACGGACCAATCCAGCCAGTCTTAAGTCGTTTCCAGCCGGTAGTGGACGTGTGTGTTCTGTTAGCGAAAAGAGTGTACAGTTTACGAGTGCCCAGTTGGGAAGGAAGGAAGGAAGGAAGGAAGGATTATCAGTCCGATTCGTCTAGTGCCATTATTTCGAGAAGAAATGGATGAATTTGCATTGTGTTGGAATAACTTTGCGGATAACATAGCCAGTGGGTTCCAGAACCTGTACGACCGGGGCGACCTGGTCGACGTGACAATTGCTTGCGATGGCAAGCTGCTGAAGGCGCATAAAATTGTACTGGCCATCTGCAGCCCGTACTTCCAGGAGATGTTCACGAGCAACCCGTGCAAGCACCCGATCAGTGAGTATTACCAGCGTTTACAAATTATCAATGTTTGTTTTATTTTTTTTTACAAAGTGTGGTCGGGTATCGTGTGAAAAGCACATTGTCAGCATTATTTTTCAGCTCATAGTTCAGTTGCTAAATCTAATTATGCTCTATGGATTATTGATTGCGATAGGCGACCTTCGTCTCGTATTACTTGGTTAGTTTAACATTTTTTATGACTAATTTAAATGGAATGTTCGTTGGCGGAGAGGTGATGGAATTATTTGGAGGGATTCCTTCCACTCGGAAATCCATAAATGAAAAGAATAAATCATCAGAAGTAGGTAATCATTTGTAATAAACCAGTTTGTGAAGCAATCTCAGCGTGATCAGTGATTTGTCTAGTCGGTCCAAATAGTGCTCAAAGAGCATAAAATAACATTCCAGTTAGGGCGTAAAAGCCAATGGGTACTTAGATGTTTCCTCTGAATAAATTTTCAGCATGATTTAATTTAATATTTGCATAAATTATATGATAGAATTGTTAAAAAGAATTCAGATTAATCCATCCATCAATGACACGTGCCTTCCTCGTCCCAACGTCCAACCGGGATAAGATTCAAGAGCTAGATTGAATGTATCGCCAAAAGGTTGACTGTAAATTCATGATTACCAATTCGCGATATATTCCACGAAAAGTTGACCGACAATATAAAACCATCCATGAACATGCTTGGCATGCACAGTTCTACACATGACACCAACTGCTCATTTGTTAATAACTTTTCACTCAGTTGTTGACATTTTTAAAAGTAATCGATAGATTAGGATCATAGTTTACTATAGATATGCAAAGAGTAGCCAAATCTTAACGTTTAAATCAATACCAATGAATTTTTACACTTAAAATCCGAGATGTGCAGCGAGCATTTCTCACTTCATTTTTACAACGCAAAAACAAATACAGTTTATTGAAATCTACTTGTTTTACATATCTATAACAAGCTTAAACTCTATTTTATCTACTGCTTCAAACAGAACTATGTTGCTCCTGCAGCCTTACCAATTAATTGCAACCCATTGGTCCTTCTTCCCGGGTGCTACAATTTCTCCTGTCTTGTCCTGCAGCGAGAGCGCCAATGCCTGTGTCAAGGACTAATCTTCGGACAAGTTACTCTAAACGCACGTTAACAAATGTTCGATCACTACAGTTGCCAGACGGTAATGAAACTCTACTACGCTATTACCATCTACTACTACTGTTGACGCAGCAAGTCAGTTGTATAGCTGGCGATCCTTTTCATGTCTCAATCTGAAAGCCGGTTCTCCGAGCTGCTGTCGTATTAGCCCCAAATAATCCTTCCGTCGGTTGTGCTTTTTCATTAAACAAACAACAGCGTCGTCGCACAGTGGTCCAGATCTGTAAAAACCCGGTCAAAAGTGATTATCTCACGAACGATGCATTTTAGACATGTGGTGTCTTCAGGAAAGTCTCTGGATATGAAAAGCCCCTTCTTATGACATTGACAGATCAATGATTAATCCCTCTAGAAGTGAGATCGAAAATTTATTTTTGTCAAAGTTTCATATTTTGGATCGGTGTCTTCGGCAAAGTTTTAGAAAATATCATAACAAGAAACTTTGCTGAAGGCACTAGGTGTCGATTTCTTTACCCTATTGAAATATGGAACGTTTTTTATAGAAACCCCCTTAATTTAAGTTTTTGCACAATAACAATGTTCATTCAACTGCTACAGGCTTAAAACGTTCTACAAAAATTTTCAAAACATCAAAACACACAAAATTTCTGAACATTATAGGATACTAAATTGCATAATAGGTCAGTTATTATTGATTTTTCCGAAAAAATAATAATTTTTGGCCACTTAATTATGATTTACTACCATTCTCCACGAAATCTGCATAACGTTTTTGGTGCAACGTACATAGCATGCGTTGCTTTTTTGTGTACCCTTCGGTCTTTCAAAATCACATGGTTGTGAGTCCGCACGTGTTTTTCGAGAGATTAAAATTCCAGTATCCAAATCGTGTACTTGAAGCCGAAATTGAGCAGGTTTGTTTATCCCTTCTTATCATTTGAATAGTGAATTAATTACGTTTTTCATAGAATGAAGCCATTTTCTTCAACGCGACGGAAGCTGCTAGAAATTATCCGTGAGAAATCAGCTTTTAGTAGAGGTGAGCAGAAAAACCACGTCACTTCTTATGTGTTGAATTGCGTTTGTTCATTGAATGCAACAAATCCAACGGATCTCATCATTCAACATGTTCGAAGCATAATTTCATCATTTTGTGGTATGTTTTGATTATTAATACTAACTACCAATAGCTTAAGACCCATTCAATATATCTGAAATAGACAAGCTTTATGAGCGATGGGACAAATGTCACAGAAAATTTTCTACTTTTGAAGCTAAGTATAGTAAGTGGCTTGATGAGGATGTTTTGTTTTATATCGAGGATACTTCTGTGGAAATGAAGGAAAAGGAGGCGAATAAAGGTCGGCCATCTGTGGCTTTCGAGAATTCGTCAGCTCGCAGTAAGTGGCGGAAAACAGAGACACTCAGAGAGCAGCATAGTGGTGCAGAGTTGCTGCATGCAGCTGCCATGCAGTTCAGAACCGTTGGGAATGAGTCTGCAGCAAAGCTGCTTCAATTTGTTGCTGAAAATCCTCAAAAAGCCAGTGATTTTCTTGATGCGTACAAGAATACAGAGATGCATTCATTGCCTGTCAAACTGACTCCTGAGGAAGGTGTTTCATTGATCATTGAAGCTGATCTAAGTAAAAATCAATATAATTTACTTAGGTCTGTTGGAAAAGCGCACCTGCTGACATTTTCCCTGCATATAATGTGGTACTAGAGGCCAAGAAAAAAGCGTACCCCCCAGCAGAAGCTATCACAGTATCTGAAACAAATGCAGAAGTTAAGCTCCAGGATTTGGTAGACTTGGACGCTAAAAGGATCGCGGAACACTTGGAAAGTGAAGGATTGTTGGAAAATTCAATTGAGATTAGATTGGAGTTGCTGCATAAGTGGGGCTGTGATGGCAGTAGTGGGCACTCACTGTATAAACAGTCGATTTCCTCCGAGTCTTCAGATGATAGCTCTGTACTGTTGACAGCTATAGTGCCACTACAGTTGAGAACTATCAATGAATCCGGTCCTCCAATCACCATTTGGACAAATCCTGTGCCCTCGTCAACAAGGTTTTGCAAGCCTATCCGCATACAATTCATAAAAGAAAATAAAATAACCTTGAAGCGTGAAGAACAGTATGTATCTGACCAAATTGCGTCACTGCAGCCATCCATGGTACAACTGAAAAATGGAAATGAGTTGAAAATATATCATCGTCTCAGTATGACCATGATTGACGGAAAAGCTCGAACCATCCTGACGGATACGTCATCGATGGCTACCTGCTATGCCTGTGGAGCAACTCCATCCGCAATGGCTGTGGATCAAGTGTTATTGCGACCAGTAAACGCTTCAACATTTAAATACGGAATTGCAGTTCTTCATGCACGGATTCGCTTTCTGGAGCTAGAGTTGCATGTTTCCTACAAAATGGAGCTTAAAAAATGGAGCGTAAACCAGCAATTGTATAAAGAAAGGAAAGAGATGATCCAGAAACGATTAAAGGAAGAACTGGGATTGCTCGTCGATGTTGTCAAGCCAGGAAGCGGAACTACCAATGATGGCAATACGGCTCGCAAATTTTTTGATAATATTTCCATTGTGGCAGATATCACTGGGTTCGACAGAGAAATTATGGAGCGATTCTCGGTGATTTTAACTACTCTAGCCTGTGGTCGCGAAATTGATACCGAGAAGTTCAGAATATTCGCACTGGAGACAGCCCGTTTATTTGAGAAAAAGTATCCTTGGTCCTACATGCCATCATCAGTTCACTTTATACTAATTCATGGTGCTGATGTAATGGAGTCGATGGAGCTTCCGATGGGTCTTTACTCGGAAGAAGCGTTAGAAGCTCGGAATAAAAATGTAAGGTCATTTCGAGAGCATCGGACGCGAAAGACCTCTCGCCAAGCCACAATGACGGATCTGTTGCAAAGATTAATTTTAACGGGTAAGAAAATTCTTTTAAAAACAGGAAAAATAAGAAATAACATATCTCTTGGTTTATTACAGGCGATATACTTTTGTCAATGACCAGACCAATGAAATCCAAGTTATCCCAAACATTACCTGATGCTGTGCAAAATTTGTTGAAATTATAATGCATGAATGAAGACTGTTTGAAATTAGCCAAGTTTTTATATAATATTAATATCTGTTACTTAATATGTACGTTTACCAAACCATGATTGTGCCAAGCTAACAATAAAGTATTAGCAATACTGAAAAAGAAGTTAGGCTTTGAAAAAATAAAGAAAGCTTAATTTTGTTTTGCGGAAGCAAATCGCCATCAAACTGCAAAAACATATATTTTTCAATAAAAATAAAGAATTACTTCTATTTGAGAATACAGTACGGTGGAATATTTTGAAAATATGTGGTCCTACTTTGAAGCAGTAGAGGTTCAAAGAATATTATATGTACGAAAAACTCAATATTAAGGTGTTTTCCATAGAAAACATCGCATATTACGCATTATGTTACCTCTAACTCATGTTTCTGCATGAAATGTCGAATGTTTTGATAAAAACACACCTAAACGATTATTTTGCAATTGATTTCATCGTGGGATTTCGTGGAGAATGGTAGTAAATCATAATTAGGTGGCCAAAAATTATTATTTTTTCGGAAAAATCAATAATAACTGACCTATTATGCAATTTAGTATCCTATAATGTTCAGAAATTTTGTGTGTTTTGATGTTTTGAAAAATGTTGTAGAACATTTCAAACCAGTAGCAGTTAAATGAAAATTGTTATAGAGCAAAAACTTAAATTAAGGGGGTTTCTATAAAAAACGTTCCATATTTCAATGGGGTAAAGAAATGGACACCTAGTGTCTTCAGCAAAGTTTCTTGTTATGATATTTTCTAAAACTTTGCCGAAGACACCGATCCAAAATATGAAACTTTGACAAAAATAAATTTTCGTTCTCACTTCTAGGGGGATTAATCATTGATCTGTCAATGTCATAAGAAGGGGCTTTTCATATCCAGAAACTTTCCTGAAGACACAACATGTCTAAAATGCATCGTTCGTGAGATAATCACTTTTGACCGGGTTTTTACAGATCTGGACCACTGTGACAGTGCTCTGGGTTTTCGTAGGCGTACTTCGGTTCTCGTGAAAAGGACCTAGCAAATTATTTACAAAAGTTGATAGGCTATTTCCAAATGTCACGCGAGCATTATTCATGTGTTCATTTTTAGTAAACAGGGCCCCGCTGTTGTGTAACTTTTTGTCGAGTGAGTGAACTTAAATCCATCCGTGCACTCGTCTATTGGTATTACATACACGCTTCCAGGTTCGAAAATATTCTTTTCAATCCTGGCATGTAGGGAAATGCAGGTAATGTCGGCCTAAGTGTCCCTAATTTAGGCCCATACATAAATTCAGCAATCGACTAAATTTTCAATAGCAACCATAAATATCCATTAGTAACGTCCCAATAACGCGTTCATCTAGATAAAATTGATAAATAGCAGATCCATAGGCCAACATTAGAGACATTTCCCCTAGTTAGTTTAATTTTGATATTTAATTTGTAAACAATAATTTGGACAGCTCTCACCTGCTCTTCCGCCGCCGTTAATTGCTTCCTTTGGAATCTCTTGGACTTTTTCTCTAACACTTCGTATTTTATTCCGTGCTTCACCGGCAATTTCCTTCCGTAGATCGCCCTTGGTTGGTTCTAACATGATTCCGCCTTTTCCGGGTTTTTTCTTGTTTTCCGAGGGAGATAAATCTGCACTAATTTCCGTTTCTGATTCGATGTTGACTCCTTCCTCGCTGGATGGCGTGGTCGGTTTCATGTCCACCATCTGTCACTGCATAAGGCTGTCCACGAGTTTACCAAGAACTTTTGATAGATCACAGTAGAACAGTTACTGGCAGTTTATTCTCATATGAATTTCTGCTTTGTTTATGCTTAAATTCAGCACCATTAACACCAGAGAACTGTCAGTTCCACTGAGAAACGTCTCTTGGATCACCTTACTGGCATGGTGATCTGGGACGAGACTCACGTCCTAAGTCGCTGGTCCACCGAGCGCTCCGTGTGCGAAAAGAGAATGAAAGAAATACGAAAGGGATCAGTTTCAAAACGTGACAGTTTCATCAGATTCCCCAACTAACCGTACTGAAGCAAAGTAAGTAAATCTTGTTTTCTGAGTAGACATTGCATGAAAGAACGTTTTAACAAAAAGTTTAAAAAATTTGACTCAAAGCTCTTGTTGTATGATTTTTTTTTTTAATTTTTAAGTGTCCACACACTTAAATTTTTTTGCCCAGATGGCCACCACCGAGCAGGTCGGCATTTTATTTTGCAGGATCTCAGAAAAAAAAACTTGCCGATATTCAGCTAACAAACAAACATTTTGCTGAATCTCGGCAAGTTTTTCACTAAGATCCAGTAAAATAAAATGCCGAGATGCTCGGTGGTGTCCATCTCGGCAAAAAATCTAAGTGTGTGGACACTTAAAAATTAAAAAATCATACAACAAGAGATTTAGGTCAAATTTTTAATTTTTTTGTAAAAACGTTTTTTCATGCAATGTCTACTTTTTAGCTTTGTCTCAGACGTCATTTCGAATGGAAGTGACGGTTTTGAGTTATGATTTGTTAAAATATATTGCCATTGGATTTTTTTTGCGAGATTCAAAACAGCGCAAATGAAAATTATTGAACATAACTATTCATAGTTTTATGCAAATCGATGAAGGTCGCGTCAGATCGATTCGTTATTTGACTTAGAGCTGCTCTTTGTGGGAGCTAATATTTGTGCTTTGGACATTTTGTGGTTATAGGTAATATGACCAAAAGTTGATGTTCTACGATTTTTGTCAGTTTTAAAGTTTCCATAGTTTATATATTCCAAAAGTTTACATTTTTCATGTGCTTTTCTTTAAACAAAAAGTTATAAATAATGAAGATATAGGCACAGACAAACAGACATAACACTCGCAAATTGTTCATCGAACAAGCATTTAACGGTCAATTTAAAAGTATAGTAGTTGGTAGTACCGCCACCTGTGGCGCGCATAGTCATTTCCCTTGGATTTGACGTTTACGCACTACCGCCATCTGTTCAGCGTACTACCCACCACAGTGTACTCAACAGATGGCGGTAATGTTTTAGCGACGATGTTTTTCAGTGAGACATATTCAATGTGTTATGTCTGTTTGTCTGTGATATAGGGGAAATGGCTCTAATGTTGGCCTATGGATCTAAGATTGGGCCCATCGCTAAAAATCTGATATTTATCAATTTTATCTAGTTGAATGCGTCATGGATATTTTTGGTCGCTATTGAAAATTTAATCGATTGCTGAATTTATGTACGGGCACAAATTAGAGGCATTTAGGTCGACATTACATCCATTTCCCCTAATTGTTTGAAATAGGTACCGAAGACTTTTTAATTTGAACCCCGCTAATCTGCAACTAAAAATTGCTCAAACATCATTCAGCATGTGGAATGGAGGAAAGCGAAATGGAACGCGGAATCAATTCAAAACAGCAAATAAGGCTACCAGAAACATGCATTTCTGATGCTGATAGGGTTACTAGAAGTGCAAATTAAAAATGAACCCCGTTAATTAGGTTCTGCAGCGTGACGTCACGAATGAACTCAGTGTTAATCGGCTGAACCTTTTTGACAGTTCAGTGGTACTGTTTACAAGCACTTAGTTGTTTTTTCGAAAAATATATATTTTAAAATTTCCGTATTTTAACTTGAAAATTTTCGAGGAACAGTGCATTGCAAGGATGTTGCTCGTGAACATTGCAGAAATGTGGTTTACATCTCACTGCAGTCTGAAAAATTATCGAGAAAATCCACCCAAGAAAAAATCGGCTAAGTCCACGTAAACAGTACCACTAAACTGTCATCAGATTGAGGTTAACCCCGACGGTGCAAAACCTAATATGCATGAAGTGTCGCTCATATCAGCGGAAGTCCACGGTTTATTAATTTTTAACATTTTTTAATTAAAAAACCTGCTGTGTAGGGGAAACTGGGGCAGTTTGTCTACCTTAAAAAAATCATCACTAATCCTTTTGGAGGTTAATTTTTGTTCAATTTACCGTGGCATAATTAATGTATAGCCCATAGTCAACTAAGATTGCAGAATGTCGCTAACGTTTAATAAACTTTCATCGCCCAAGGAATGCATAAATCATAATGCAGAATAATTCTTCCCGAACCACATTCGAGTGACAGCCTGCCAAAAAGCACAACCAAATTTATTTGTATTCGCAGGTAGCTCCGTCCAAAAATTTTATCACAAATGATTCATCAACTTCAACACCGAACCGAACACAATCGATTGGCTGTAAACATCGGCAGCCTCATTTTGGAGTGACGAAAAAGGCACAAGTGTCACACAAGAGGGCTTAAGTCGGGTTCGATATCGTCTCACCATCGTCGTCACGTATCGTTCTCGCTGTATCTACCACCTACCTGCGACGCTGTGGTAGATAAAACCCAATAATAACTCACATAATAACTTCAAGTGGCCCGATAGGCGAAAACAGAAGATAACTAATATAAGCTGTTTGTGAATCGTCTTGTCGAACACGATGTTCCTGTAGGTGCCTACCTATATATGCGGTGCTGCTGGTTAACAACCGAAGGCGACGAGGGTCGGGAAGATGAGTAAGAAGAGTCTTTATCAAATGTATGCCTACCATTACTGTCCATCGCTTCGCATCGGTTACAGAAAGCGCCGATAAATTGTATTGATACCAGTCAGGGTAGTTACTGATGACCATAAGGAGATTTGCTTCCTGTGTCGAGTCATGTGAATAAATCCGCAACCTTAAAACCCTTGTTTGTTCAAATGAGGAAAGCTAATCCTATCCGGCCTCTCAAGGAGCTTCACTCAACAACTATATCTGTAAATAGCCTAAATTTGGATTCCATCGAGTATAGCTATATGCGTTTATCTAATCGTGCTTATCGTTCCCTCGATACTTGAATTGCGCTGTTCGCGTCGATATCGTGAACGATTCGAACCGTCTCTCTGTCTTCGAGGCGTATTTTCCTTCTTCTTGGATTTACGATGATGTACCGATAAAACGCCTTCGATACCCTAGCCACGATAATATTATCGACTTATCGAGTCGCATATTGTTATTACAGACGTGTTGGTTATCGTCGACGACAATGAGGCCACGTGTTCCACCTTAGTCTTATGCTATCTTTTCTTCCCTTCCTTTGCAGTTGTTCTCAAAGATGTTTCGGTCAACGTGATGCAAGAACTGCTGCAGTTTATGTACCAAGGCGAGGTCAACGTCAAACATTCCGAGCTGCAGAGCTTCATGAAGATTGCCGAAACGTTGCAAATCAAAGGTCTGACGGCTTCGCATAAGAACGATCGTAGCCCTACGCCATCGGCCCAGCCAGCCCCCGCCCACCTCAACAGTAATCGGGCATCCACTAGTCAGCTGGACCCGTCGAAGCTGAATTCCTACCTGGCCGCGGCCGCCAAGGATAGTCTGAAACGGGTTGCCGATGGCACCTCCGATCAATATCCGATCCACTACCCCAAGAAAGCCATCAAACGCTCGACCGACAGCATGGAGCAGGATAGCAACTCGGAATGTATGGACAATCTCAGCTCGGATGAAGCGTACATCCCGGCGTCACCTCAGGTTTCGATGGTCGAACAGTCGTTTTCAACTGCCCGTCAGTTTGACCTGTCGAACGTCAAACGGGAGGCGACCAACGATTCTCTAACGTCGCCCCAGCAAAGTCCCACAAATTTAGCCACCTCGGCGGCGGCAATGGGTGCGGCGGCAGCAGCTGCGGCCGCCGGCATGAAGCTGGGCTTCTCCAGTACGCCTACGCATCCGTCGGCAACGGCAGCGGCACTGCATCCGATGTTCGGCGGATTCGATCACAATAGCACCAGCTTCAGCGGGCTTTCAACCAGTTTGGCTTCGATGAGTGGAAACGGTGCCAGTGGCGTAGGGCCGGGAGCAGCATCAGGTGAGGCTGGTAATAGCACAAGTGGCATGAAGATGGGGTCGATGGATTATCCCAGTGATTACGGTTCGGATTACGGCAAGGGCGGAATACTACCCATACACATGGATATACCGGCGGGTAAGTGTTGATTGATGTGCTAGCGTTGTATTTACTGTTCGATTAGATGCTTCATTTTATGGAATGTTTCCTATGCACTGCTTGCTGTGAATAATCCGATTTTCGTTTCGATGAATTCATGTTTTTGCGCACTCAACAGTATTATTCAATAGTTCCAATCGGTTTATTATCCTCGAATGTATTTTTGATTAGGCTTGCCTGATGATGATTGATTGTCTTCCGGAATTGGTCGTTAGTTTTTGGTCATATCTCAAAAACGGCAAGAGACACCACTCTGAAATTTTCACCAGTTAGAGATAAGAAGTTTTCAAGCATGACAAAAAAAAATCATTGAGAAGCTTTGTACACAGAAAATGTAAATAATATTTGATAGCTTTAGACAAGTCATCTTGTCTAATTAAAAAAAGCAGTGTTACGAAAGTTTCAAAAAATTAAGCTCACCTATGAATTTTCCTTGTGAAATTCAAGTACGCATCACTACTAATCGATGCAATATTCGGTTCACTGATCCTTTCATCAAATGAATATTTTGGAAACTACATCTCAAATAGTGGAACTTACGTCTGCACAGTTACTATATATCAGAGGAAAAGCGAAGTGGCAAAGCAAATCAATTCATTTAATCGTGTCCTTAAAGGCGTCCCTTGAAAAAATGCTTAACGATAAGTTCGGGGTGATGTAGATTCATTAGAAAAGTTGTCTTTACCCTGACAATGGTTTTCCCTGATTTCCTTGCCATGTTTCTCCACCGTGAAAATTTTCGTGGAAAACATTTTTCAGATTACCTATATATTTTATGAATTGCTGAGATAATTTCCTTATCCTTTCTATGAAGGTTGGTTCATGAATTATGAACTTTCAAAGTGCATGATGCCCGGGAAACCTAATCTAATCTAATCTAACACCAACCCAGCCAGTTCTTGAAAGCATCCCGGAAAATGATTGACCCCCATCACTTGTCTTGTCTATTTGATATATGTTTCACATCGAAGATGCGTCATACATACCAAAACGGTCAGGCCTACTGTGCAGCATTTAAGGGGCAATATGATTAAGAAAACATCGGACTGGTTTAAATCGAAGATTTAAATACGTTGCATCAGAATCCAATAAATAGATGAACCGTGGACATCTCGTACCATACTTTGCGTTTTTGGTAATGGTTGGTTGGTTGGAAGCATCTTAGCAAGGTTAAGTGATGCTCCCTTTTCCGCTGACGGTTGGGACATGAGCACTAACTCTTGTCCTAGCCTTTTATGCCTTATGCTATTACGTCATTACTCGCTTTCTGAAAAGAGATGAGGGAAAGGAGAAAGACGAAAGTAAAGGTTTATATATTCTCTTTGAACAATATTTTTGATTTGAAATGTCTCTAATGTTGGCCTATGGATCTAAGATTAGGCCCATCGCTAAAAATCTGCTATTTATCAATTTTATCTAGATGTACGCGTTATTGGGACGTTAGTAATGGATATTTTTGGTTGCTATTGAAAATTTAGTCGATTGCTGAATTTATGTATGGGCCCAAATTAGGGACACTTAGGATCCCTCTTTAAGGGTGGACTCCCATACAAATGAAACAGAAATTTCTGCATAACTCGAGAACTAATCAAGCAAATGGAAGCAAATTTGTCATAGATAAGAAGGGGGCTACGTACAATTTAGCATGCTTTTTTTTTTTAATTAGCGCATAAACTCAAGCTAATATTGAATCCCGAGCAAGGCCGGGCACACTCAGCTAGTACAATATAAAAATTCATAATGAGGGAGGTCACTACCCGAGTCTTGTCACTATTACCTAGACTTGAAAAGTAACAAGGACTTTTCCAGAATTTAACTATAACTAACGGATTTTTTTCCAGAATTTAACTATAACTAACGGAAACACCAGCACTTTATTCTATCGGCGAAAAAACAAACGCGGAGCGAAAGCCGAACTTGTAACTTACCATTTGTCAGGATCCAGCGAGGCATCCTTCAGATTACTCGCAATCTCCGAAAACCGGCGAGAGACCAGCAGCCGAGCACTTTTGCAAGCGGAAAACTAGCTGGTTTACGGCAACGTCGGCCACCGAATCACCAACCAAAAACTCGCGACGGACACATTATCAGCAACCGGATCGGGTTCAAACTCACCCACGGTGACGAGACTCTCGATAGAACTACACACCGAAAGTGATTCAATCCAACTATAGCACAATTTCATGAACACTTAAAACTCAATTCCAAAACCGCGGAAGAAAAACACGCAGCAAAAATAAGCCCCTCAAATTTCAAGCGCGGCTTACTGCGATCCATCCGGGATAGTAAACGAAGCTGATTTATGGCCAATCTTCGAATTGATTTGGTTAAAAGATAATGATTATTAATTTACATGCATTTCTAACCAAAGTGCCTTTGTAAATTCTTCTAGAGATTTCTGAAAGATGCAATTTTTGAAACAATTAAAATAGTCAAATTTTAAAATAAAATATTGATGCGTTATAAACATAAAAACACCAAGGGGTGTTCAACTCTGCACATCCCAATCTGTGCCGAAAGCTGTGTCAAGCATTGTGCCCTCGGTTGTGCCGAACGTGTCGCAGTGTGGCAATCAAGGTATCAGTCTCAATATTCTACGAGTTTGGCAACATTGCAGTTATGACTTTCGAGATTGTTTGTTTACATTTTCAAGTCGAGAACGGAAAAAAAAGTTGTGAACATAAATCTCGCATTACTTTTCAAATAGACCAATCTACATTGATCGATTCTCTTCATCGTCTCTCTCTTTTGTTAATAACTTGGCTGCATTCATATTTCTCGCGTAACATTTGAATAGGGCCTATCCTCGTTGATCGATTCTCTTCATCGACTTTCTCTTTGGTTTACCACGGCAACATAAACGAATTTCTCGCTAAACTCGCAGCACTGTTCAAGCTGAACATTGCATTAGGTCCTAAGTAACATTGACAGATTATCTTCGTCGACTTTCTCTTTGTATCCCCACGGCCAGTGATGGAAAAAATCAAGAAAATCCAAAATCAGGAACGGTCGAAAATCACTGCTGATCTTGAGATCAGCAAAATCACACAGCAGAAAATCAAGGCTGATATTATCTTAGCTGATCTTGAGAGTAGCAAAATCACACAGCAGAAAATCAAGGCTGATTGTAACCTTAGCTGATTTTGCGGTCACAAAAACCAAACGGAAAATCAATAGATTGGAATTACAGTCAAAGTAAAAATCCGACATCCACCGCCATTTTGGAATCCAATATGGCGGACCAATATTCAATATGGCGGCCCCCGGACTAGGAATATGCATTTAAACCCATGCAATATGGGTATCTGCGAAATGGGCTCGATGAGTGGAAGTAGAAAATTGACATCCGCCGCCATTTTGGAATTCAAGATGGTGGACCAAATTCCAATAGGCGGTCCCGGACATGGAATATACATCTAAACTCATGTAATATGGGTATCTGCAGAATGGGCTCTTGATTTCCAAAATGGCAGCGGATTTCAATTTTCCACTTCCACTCATCTAGCCTAGAAACACTAGAATAAGAGACCAGCGGAGACACTGTTATGATTCCAATCGAACTGTCAAAAGCAGTTCCAATCTGCAATGTTTACAAATGGTTTGCTTCAATTAGGGAGGAGTATTAAAATCGTTTAACAATCACTCATGAACTCGCTTGTCGGTGCATTGGCGAAGTCACTCGCAAGCAGTTACAAATGCAAGTGATGTCAGGATTGCTTTGATGTTTATCTTGTTGCCAAATTCATGTTTTTTTTCTCCGCATGGTCTCTTATTCCAGTGTTTCTAATCTAGTCTATTCCGTAGATACCCATATTGCATGGGTTTAGATGCATATTTCTTGTCCGGTGCCAACATATTGGATTTTGGTCCACCATCTTGAATTCCAAAATGGTGACGGATGTCAATTTTCCACTTTCCCTCATCGAGCCCCTCCCGCAGATACCCATATTGCATGGGTTTAGATGCATATTCCTAGTCCGGGGCCGCCATATTGGATTTTAGTCCACTATTTTGAATTCCAAAATGGCGGCGGATCTCAACTTTTCACTTCCTCTCATCGATCCCATTCCGCAGATACCCATATTTCATAGGTTTAGATGCATATTCCCTGTCCAGGGCCACCATATTGGATTTTGGTCCACCATCTTGAATTCCAAAATGGCGGTGGATCTCAATTTTCCACCTCCACTTAGCGAGCCCATTCCGCAGATACCCATATTGCATAGGTTTAGATGCACTTCCCCTCATCGATCCCATTCCGCAGATACCCATATTGCATGGGTTTAGATGCATATTCCTTGTCCAGGGTCGCCATATTGGATTTTGGTCCGCCATATTGGATTCCAAAATGGCGCCGGATGCCTATTTTCCACTTCCTTTCATCGAGCCCATTCCGCAGATACCCATATTGCATGAGTTTAGATGCATATTCCCTGTCCAGGGGCCGCCATATTGGATTTTGGTTAGTCATCTTGGATTTGCGGGAGCCATCTAGGGTTGAAATCCACCATTTTAATTTCATCCGGGATGTTGACTTAAATTTCGGAATTGCCCAAACTCTAGAATTTCACATATCTTCTAATCCTATGATTTCCGATGATATTGATCTTGGTTGATTTTGAGAATCGAAAATAACGGCTGATATTGGTCGAAAATCACGTTTGGATTTCGTGGTGATGATAGCTTGTGATTTTAGGTGATCTTGATCTTGAAAGATTGCTGATTTTGATTTTCTGATCTTGATTTTAGCCAACACTGCCCACGGCCATGCAAAGACATTCCCAGGTATTTTCAGCACACAAATCGATAAAAGAAGCTTTTATCTAGCATCTAACACTACAAAAACAACAAGTAACGGTTATGTGCTCAAGTTATTAACGGAAGAGAAAGTCGACGAAAAGAATCGATCAATGTTACTTAGGACCTAATGCAATGTTCAGCTTGAGTTCGACAGAAGATGATGTTAGCTTGCGCCTTAA